TCTTGCTCATCAGCATCATTGGTACCTGGATACACAATATCTTGCTCATCTTCATCATGGAATTTATTGTTCTGATCACTGTCAACAAGCTGCTTTCTGGTCTCATCATTTTGAATTGATTGCCTCCTATCAAGGGAATCATTCTCTATATCATTGCCACTCTCTTCAATGTTGAAATATTGTTTATCAGCGTTCCTTCTACAAAGCTCAGGATTGAATTTTACATCATGGCAAACTTCAGCTTTGTTCTTATCTGGGAAATATACTCGATATCCACAGTTACTATACCCAAACAAATATCCCTTTTTGGACACTTAGCATCAAATTGCTTCCTATTTTGTTGAGGTATCCAAGCATAGCACTCACTTCCAAAAGTCTTTAGAGGTTTGAAGTCTGTTTCACCCTTTAAAAATATCTCAATTGGATTATCTTTAAAAACTAAAAAATAGCGATGACCATGTACATCTGGTTCTTCCATTGGCAAACACACATCGGCAAAAATCAACTGTCCAGGTTCATTTGATTTTTCTTGCCGTTCCCTAGCCGCCAGCATTTTTTCATTCGTATAATCGAGAACCGCCAAGGCCATTTTGTAGTTAAACGCAATGCTTTTATAAAATGGCTACAACCTTTTTATTTTTGTAAATATTTTGATAAAACCTTTTTTTCTAGAACTTTAATAAAATTGCCTTTATAAAAATATAATATTTATAAAGGTTTAAATGGAATTTTTTATGTTACCAAATGTAGGTAAAAAAATCAAAATAAATAAATAAAAACTTTGAGTACAACCAAGTTAACTATAGGCCTATGAATAACAAATATTTGATCAATATTTGTGGTTTTTTTTTGTAGTATACAAATTTGTTAGCAAGCATGCAAAATTTGAAAATCCTACCTTGAAAAATAAACTTCTTTTCAGGGTTTGAAATAAATTGTCTTCAGAGCGTTTTGATGTCTACGCTTCACTCAAATGCACTATATAACGTCTAATGCCATAACATGCACAAGAAAAGGAAAGAAGCCTGCAGTTTTTCTTTATGGCAAAGAACAATGATAACACCAACTATTTACAACGTAAAACTACATACATACACTTATCCTAAAAAATTTAAATGGTCTAACATCGTCTAGCACCTATGTTGGCCAAACACGCGGCGTGTACACCTTTCAGGCACTGTAGCTCTGCATATGGTTTAGGATTTCTTTCTTTTTCCACCTGCTGCAATAGCCTACTGATAAGGCTACATACACAGCAGGTTCTATCTTTATACTGGTAAGGTTTCCATTCCAAACTGGTCATTTTGCCGCTGATTGTCTACTCCACCACCCGCTAACTAATACTTAGGCCTATGGACAAGCACCTCTTTTAACATAGGCTACTGTCAGTTATAGATATGTGAACTGAAACCTATTCAGTATTCATGTCTTTTTCACTACAGTTTTCCAAAATATAAGTTCAAAATCATTCTTGAAAAATGTGTAATACAACCTTTTTCTAATACTGAACAGTCCATCGCTCATCGAGGTAGGCGTAGCCTATAACATCTGGTCTGAATGGTCAATACCTCTCATGAAGCAGTTGTACACATATATTATCTCTAGGTTTTCTTTTACAATTACCTGATTATTTATTACTAACTTACTGATTTTGCAACACACTAAGTTGACAGAAGAAGCAGTGGCGGATTTACCATAAGGCACACTAGGCACACAGATGTTGATTGTTGACAAACAACTGTCGACGTCATCTCGGGACATCTCGTCCACCACGAGAGAAAAAAACACAAACAAAGGCAGTCAAAGCTCTTGCTACATGAAGCCCAGACAATGCTGATTCGATTGGTGTGTCATTTTTCATTTTGGACGAAGAGGTGGCCAGTAAACAAACATTTAGCAGACGTCCATGGCGATTTTCGCAATAGCACCGATATAGATGGAGATCATTGATATTTCCCCAACATGCATCCCTTGCAAAACGGTTTATCAAACCTTACATCAATACCTCGTGATTTTAAAAAAGTGAGAACATATCTATGATCTTGGTGCCCTAGTATTTCATGCCAAGACTGCAAATCATTATTTATTTTCTTCAAAATAAAACATTATTCTTTTGGTGGAATGACCTTAACAACCATATTATACAATTGATTATCTGTATTAGATATTATAGCCAAAGCAATGGTTGTTCCGTTTTCAGAAAACACCCATGACTTACCATTGTTTTTCACAGTCTGGTGAATGCCTTTTTCACCTGCTTTCTTCACAGAGAATAAGTTACAGGCAACTTCAGGGCAGTACCAAACATCATCAAACTACCTGTAAGTCCACTGTTTACCATCAAAAACCATAACGTCTATTTTTCCTGACCCCAGGGCCTGAATATGAACACCTTGGCGAGCACTGTCCATCTATTTACGAGTATCAAATGGTGTGTAAGTGGAAAACCAGTCCCAGCTGCTGTTTGTCACATGGTGATTGATCGAGTCATCATTGCAGCATTTTGTATTTCACGGGTACATTCATTTGTTTGTTCTTTTGTGTGACACTTAAAACAAATTATTATACCTGTTCGACAGTTTTTAGATAGATGACCATTTTGCCACATGAAAAACATTTTATCACTCCTAATTTTTGTAAGTATTCCTTTTTGACATTTTTGGCTCCCATATATTTTGGATTTCGTCAAATTTTTCCAGATGTCCATTCATTCCAAGGGTAGGTTCCCAAGAAGTATTGTGGAACTTATTTCTCAATATCAGTTGACCTATATTTTCAGTTGACTTGACATCAAAAATTTGGACAAGTTTCTCCCACATCTCTTTTGATGTAGAGCAATTGCTTACTCTGAGTAGAGGATTCGTCTCAAGGGATAGAACAATATATTTTCTGGCTTTTGCATCGTTTTTTGTCCAATTTACCAATTTTTCTTCGTAATTTTGTGTACCAGCTGTTGGTTTTCTGCATCTTTGCCAGATCTAGTCTGATAGATTGTGTCATAATTTATTAAAAAATAAATAAAACTATATAGAATATTTACTAAAACTTTAGGCCACGTTCAAAAAACTTGGTTTAATGGATGGCATGGCGGACATACACTATCTCACGAGGTGCTCATCCTCAAGTTCTTTTAAGGAGTACAGCAGCCTATTTATTAATATTCCTTAATGATATGATACAACGTCAGATCATTAATGAAGACTAAAAAAGGATTGGACGGAGGATAGAACCCTGGGGAACTCCCTGAAATACAACAGACGAAGCAGAGGTAGCATGACTTCAAATTCCTTGATGAAAGGTATCTGGACTGATTGAGTTCTTCCCTGAAGAAAGGACGACACTCATTCGTGAGCTAAGACCCGTACTCCAAGACGATAAAGTTTGTCCAGGAGAGTGGCTTGATCAACCATATAAAATACTGGGTGTCCCAGAAAGGAATGCACTTTTAAAACTAACAAAACAGAAAAATGGCTTTATTTACAGCAATGTTTCCAAGAATACATGTTTGTACAATTCAGGGAAATTACTTGTGACAGATTACATCTTCCCGATGTAGACCTCTACGGTGCCGGCACTCCGCCAAACGAAACCTTACATCTGCGAGGACTCGACAGCAGAGTTCTGGTGAGATGGCTTCAGTTTCCTCACGAATGTTTTGCTTTAGATGATTGAGGGTAGCAGGAGCGTTGTTGTACACCTGACTGTTTAGATACAACCACAAAAAAATCTAGTGGAGTTAGGTGTGGGCTTCTTGAAGGAGAGCTATTGTCACTAAATCTGGAAATGACTTTCCCACGAAACAGCTTCCTTATTGAAGTCGTGGAGTCTCATGCTGTATACCCATGCTGTATTTTTTAATGCCTGTACTAATTGAGTTTTGTACGGGTGAAACTTCAAATCTTGTTTCAAAATGCGGTGAATACTGGTTCGGGTATACTCAAAGCAGCAGCGTGTTTTCTTACTGATCGATGTCGATTATCCTCTACAGCATCTCGAACACACCCGATATTTTGTTCAGATCGCGCTTCTCTATGGCAACCGATAGGACTAGGTTTCATAGTTGATCCTGTAGCTTCACATTTGTCCACCCAACATTTAATTATAAGGTCTATTATTGTTCAATGATGGCATTTCGTTTGAGATCTTGAAGTCTGTATTGAGCGTGGAAGTGTCGTAATGAAAGAGTTTGGTAATAGTCGCGTACACGGAAAGCACGCTGCTTGCCGGCAAAGCCATCCATGGCAAATGACTTTCCACGGGCATGGCTATAAAACCCTGATAAGCTCATTTTCTTATCTTTCTTGGACATTCGGCTTTCCCCAAAATAAAAGTGCAATCCTTTCTGGGACACCCAGTACTTTAGACAGGTAAAAATTTATTACTAGTGTCTCCAGAATCCAAGGCTCTTGACAAGAATGATATTAAATGATAAACTGCGTCGAGGGTCAATCTTCCCTTTATGAATCCGAACTGGTGAAAAGATGAGATCTATTATTTTACTCCATAAATGACAAGAGCCTGTTCAGAAACAGACGTTCAACAACTTTGGAGAGAGTTGAAACTAAGAACATTGGCCGATAGATGCTACCATTAATTATGTTTGTTTCCATTCTTATGAATGGGCCTGACGATGGTATATTTTAGGGAAGATGTGAAGGATCCTTCTTCAAAGGAATAATTTATCAGGTGGGCCAATGTAGCAGAAACTAGATCATATGTTTCTCTGATCAAGAAATTTCATCTGAGCCACTCGATGGCTTTGGTTTGGGGAAAAGTATGACTTCTTCTACTTCAGGTTTAGTAACAGGGGACAAAAATAAAGAATTGCTTGAGGTACATACATTTAACCAATCTTGGTTATTCTTATTAATAATTAACTAAAATGAAGATACCTACAATATTGTTATCTGGCCAAGGTAAATCTCAAAGCTTCAAATCTGAGTGATATTTTTTTTTGTTTATTATAGGTTACTTAATTTTTAAGGTTTCTTAAAACTTACACAATGCAACTCCTCGTCATTAGCAATAGCTAGCAAAATATGGCGAGGTGTAATACGGCCCTTCTTGTTGTCCCTGGCAGCATTGCCAGCTAACTCCAATACTTCAGCTATAACAAAGGAATAAAGGAAACTGCAAGCATTTTTTTGAAATTTTTGAAATTGCTATTAGCAAATTTCCCTATAGGAAAGTAGCTACAGTATTACCGTAGGTGGCATGGTAAGACCTAGGCCCAGGACCGATTGACCGAAATTTTGGCCAGAGGCCAAAAACACCATTGGTTCAAATTTTTATAGATATAGATATATATATAGGCTATAGGAGGTATATATATATATATATCCAAATAAGTGAAATAATAAAAAAACCAGCGTACCCTGAAATACATTTTTTATCAAACTTATACGTGTTTTGGCACTAAGGCCATGATCACAGTATTAGTTATAAATTTGTATAACTAATACTGTGATCATGATCTTTAAATGGAACTATGGCCGTTTAAAGGTACGTTTACTTATGTAAAATGACTAGGCCTAACCTATTTGTTAGCCTAGGATATTTCCTCACCAGAAAATGTATATCTTACGTCATTTCTAAGTGATTAAAGTAACTATTAGGGGCGGTTTGGGAGCTCGGTATTAGCGCTAGTCTGCGACTAAATCCGAATATTTCCGGTATTTTAGGCTGCCGCCTCGAAAACGGGTTTGTGAGCTCGGGATCAGTAAGGCGCGCGCAGGGATAATCTCGCGCCTAAATATTGTTGGTTTGGGAGTCAAGTAGACTTAGGCGCCAGCCTAAGAGATAGTCTCGGTGGGTTTGGGAGACCAATTTCGGGACTAAGAGATATGTTTTCGTCATAAAAATCAGTGAGTTTAGTCCCCAACTTTAGTCCTGCCAGGGGGCAGGTCTAAGTCGACATCATGCCGGTATTAGCTCATTAGCAAGTTAATTGTTTCAATATTAACTAAAAGATTGTTATATTGGAATTCGTTATTAAATTCCGAACATTTTCATTCCTCTCAAAGTATATTTGATAAAACTTTTTTTTAGTTTTCTGTTGTTCAAAATAAAACGACAATCTTGCAGAAAGCTAAATTTAACGAAAGATTATTTGGTTTTTGTTTTTACTGTTAACTGCAATACAAATATGGACCCTAAATAGAATTTCTTTCAACTGAGAGTTTGGCTATAATCACCCGTACCTTAATTATAAATATTTTATTAGTAAGGAAATAATTAGCAACCACATGCATACCCCCCACTCACCCTCTACGAAAGAGTGAAGAGATAGTAAACAAAACATAAAAAACTGCAAATAGCTCACAGTCATAATCGTTTTCTTTTAATTGCGTTGTGATAGAGCTCAGTTCAGTGTCAGTGTCATTGACCAAGTGCTAGTTACATCAAAATGGAGTACCTAGATTATTTGGAGTATAAGAAAATATATACAGTACCTATATCAATAACCCGCCACAGAAAACCTGCAGACTAAGCGAATTTCCAAATTACCTAATAGAGCTTTCAATTAAATTTATTTAAATAACTTTAGGTTTAACCCTTTCAGTGCTATGAAACGATACATCGTTGTTTTAAAAAAACCCTAAGGGATATAGAGAGGAAGGTTATTTAAAAAAAAAATAGCAAAACGGCCATTGGTGACCTGCATGTTCATAGGATACACTACCAACCACTTAGCTAAAAGATTCGCCCAATCCGATGATTTCGAGGTGTATGTCTAAACCAAGGATTATGAACACCTCACTATGCCCCAGTGGTTGTAGTATATCGCTACAAACACACAGGTCACCAATTATTTACCACACAGGACGGGATTCGAACCCGAGCAGACGAATGCCACTGGCCAAGTGACACACGCCCTAGCCTTCTCGGCTATCTGTGCTTGAAGACTGGGGAGTTAAAAACCGGTATTTAAGCTGTCGCCACCGATTGCGAACAGATGGCCCTGCAGATGGTTGTTCAATGCGTTACTAGGTAGCAGCACCAGTAAGTCACGGACTATTTAGATGCAATCTTTTAGTTTTAGTAGTAGTAAATGTGTTCCTGAGACTTTGCTGCAAAACATTAGTTTCCCTAAAATGGCTATATTACGATAACCTCGTCCAACTAAATCAGGGTTAAATTCAATATTACATTGTAAACTATATGTCTTTTGATTTTATGAGATTTCGGTTTCAAATAATGCTATCAAAACATAAAAATTTATAGGAAAACCAGGAAAATTACAACAAAAACTAAGTTTTATTTAATGTTTATTACAAATACCGGGATTTATCTTTCTTATATATTTTCTTATTGTGTTATTATTCAAAATTAGCCTAATTAATAAAATAGTGACAACATGACAGTTAAAATTCAACAACAGGTAATGTAATTAAAAAGGCAAACAAAAAAGTCTTACAAAATATGAATTATTGGCCTAGCACTGAAAGGGTTAACAAGCACCTGAAACTACCTACGGTGTAGGTATGCTGCTACAGGGAGGGTAATAAAGTGTGTTTTTTAACAAAATATTAACAGCTTTATAAAAAATAAATAAATTTGCCAAGTTTCATAAAAATATATCCATAAACGACCACACTAGAACAGTTAACTTATTCTCCATAAGAATCACATGGGAATTTAAAATTTACAATTTTACCAATAGTCTCTGTAGCCAGTAACCGTACAAAACATTTTAAGATATTAATTTGTTTTTTATACTCTTTAAAATACTCTTTACTCTTTAAAATATTTTTAAGACAAAGATTTATGTTATAGGGGTTAAAATTGAGAAAAAAACTATTTTTATCCTATACAACTCCGGGTTCCCTTGGTCTGATCATGCTGGTTCGCGAACTCATTAAGAGTCTTCCTTAGTGGAAGCCATGTTGGATTTCTTCCCCATAAGAACAATGTTAACTTTGGGTCCAAATATCTCATCAGCAAATTGTCATATAATTATGGATAAGGAGTTAAATTTAAGGAATTGCGGTCCTCTAGAGATTGACGTTTTTTATTTCACAATTTTTAATTTTTATAATGAATAATTGATTATTAATTAGCTTAAAATTAAGCTAATTATTGAAAGGAAATGAAAATGGATTTTCGAAATTCAAAAACCTCAGTCACGAGTCTATTATGTTAAAAATACAAATTATAAATTTCAAAGCTATATCTTAACAAATAACGCCGTTACGTGTCCACAAATGATGTAATGTTTAACATTGTTCTTATTAGAAAGAAATCCAACATGGCTTCCACTAAGGAAGACTCTTAAGGAGAATCGCGCCTAACACTTTCATACCAAATTTTATCAAAATCAGACAAAAATTACTCAAGTTATCACTTTTATGGACGTATATATAATACATTTATATATAGGCTATACATATATACAATTTTGAACGAACAGTGTTTTTGGCCTCTAGGGACATCAAAATAGAAAAGTTTATTGGTCCCGGAACTAAGTGCTACCTACGGTAATAGATACTTCCCTAGGAAAATTAGATAAAAGAGTGTCATGTAAAAAAAGATTTTAAATTGACAACAATTTTTTCTAAGTACCGTACTGTATTAAAAATTTTTTTTTAACATTTACCTTGGCTGCACACAATCATAACCTCCGCAATTACTTTTTATTACTTTTTTTTTGTCAATACCCCTATATTATACTGGGAAATCTATAATATTAAAACGAAACAGGGTTTTTTTATTTCACGATTCTGAATCAACCACTTGACGGATTTTCATGATTTTTGTGTTGAAAGAAAGATAATTTTGAGAACTAGGGAATGTCGAAGCCATAATTTAAGTTTAGGGTTTCAGTTTTTTAGAAATTAAGTTTTAATTTTTAAAAATTCTAGCAGCCGACGCTAGCAATTTAAAGTATTTTCAATGCTGGTTTAACTAACAGCTGGTTTATAACTGTCATTGAAATGTTTGTAATGTAATTACGAGTTGTTTGTTAACAAAAATATTTTTCGTTGGTGTTTGCTTGCATAATATTTCACTTTAAAATGTAGGTAGTTTTCCCTTACCGTGAAGGATCTGCGTTATCAGTAAATGTGTTATTTTGAACTAAACATCTCAAACACTTGCGTTTAATCAAGTTTTGTCGTAAATGCAATCTGTGTAAGTATTTAGTTTATGCATTGCAAATTTCAACTCATATTTGGGAAATATTTTTTCAGCAGTTTATAGCTTAATTGTTAAAGATATTAGTGAAATACGTGTTGATACTTCTTTTTCTGTATGTTTGAAAGTGAGTATGTCGGCATACTAAAATTTTGGTTAGTAATGAAAGCGTCAATCGGTGTAGTAGGTCTCTATAAAACTATTAAATAAACTGCAGAGTGCAGCAGAAACCAAAGTCGACTCATACCATACCAACTATCCCCGTAGTACTGATGATTCAGAAACTTGGGCACTGACCAAAGAACCGAAAAACCTTAATGATGGGTTAGATAATAAAGTGCAGAGAAAATATACAGACCAGTTCAAAATAACGGCCCGGAGGTTGAAATAAAAAAAAGAACAGAGAGCTAAGAGAAATGTGTTAACACCCAAATATAGGGATGCTTTCCAGAAGTAGGTAAAGCTTGGATGGACAGGCTGTGCATATACTTAAAACAGTATATTCCAAGGAGTACCACACGATAGACGGGAAATATCAAGTTATGAAATGCATCCTCAGACTGGGATCTAAATTTTTAAGAGGCAGGTGATAGAAGAGAATCCTCATAAAAGTTTCAGTGGTCATGGAAGTAAGATAAGGTACGGTAAGTACATAAGTAGTACAGTATGCAATTGGAGGTGGAATGTAGCTACTCTACTCAAAACCAGTGTGAATCGGTCGCCAATCTCACTTCAAAATTTTTCAAATCGACACAAATGCTGTTTTATGGTAAAATTATCGGATTTAAAATACATATCGCCATATTTTAGGTCTATATTCGAATGGAATAAATAGGTGGCCACGTTACATTTGTTTATATGGTGATCTTCCCCATTAAAACTGCCAGAAGTTGTGTCTACGCGTGCAAACTAGATGTTCTGAATTATTCCGTTTTAGTTGACAACTCGATTCCCGTACGTAGGACGGGCCACCAG